AAAATGGGGGGAATGGGCCTCCCAAACTTAGATCTATATTATAAAGCAGCGATAGTTGGCACACTATCTCAGGTGTTCTCTTTGTAGCTGCGTGGGTACACTTGGAAGCATCACACACAGAGGGATACGACATTGCAACACTAGCGGGACAGGACAAGTAAAACTCATAGAAAAAAGTTTCGAGACATTTCCCCTATAACGTCCTTAACACTGAAAGAATGGGATAAATACACAAAATTCTTGAATCTTGACACGAAGCTACCACCAACAATGCTCCTACGCTCTTTTGAAGCACTGATCCCACAACTAAATATTAGAAAATGGACCACTGCAGGCTTAACACATTTACACCAACTCATGGATAATGATAAATACATAGCCTTTACTTCACTACAAAAAGAGTTCAAACTACCACCTGCAGCGGAGTTCGCACATAGACAGATAATATCGTGGATAGGAAGAAATAGAGGGTCACCATACACCACAGAAACAAAAAGAAATATGGAGACATTACGACAACTGTGCACTAACTCTAATAAAACAGCTGGTATCCTCTCCAAAGTATATAGCAGTTATTTACCCCAAAAAAAGATAAGAGACATGACCTTTATCAAAAACTGGGAATATGACATAGGGAAACAATTACCAGACGAAAACTGGTGTAAAAGTTTCATGGCCCATAAACACCTAACACTATCCACAGCCCAGATAGAAATGTCAAGAAAAATGCTGTACAGATGGCATATGGTACCCACTAAGCTGAAACACATTGACCCGAAACAGACGGGGGTGTGTTGGAGATGTGGTGACGCCACAGGGGATGTCATACATATTTGGTGGACATGCCCTGTCATTACAAAATTATGGAGATCAGTACATTTCCTTGTGCAACAAATAGGAAAGATGGACGTGGCATTCATGCCTGAGATATTCCTTCTGCAACATATGCCACAAGGCCTCTCAAAATCCCAACAATACCTACTTTTCCACGTAGCCATAGCGGTGATAACAGCTATAGCCAAGGTGTGGCTTCAAAAAGATCCCCCACTATTAGACACAATAGCCTCACATCTAGATAATATTAGACTTTGGGAATGTACGGTGCGAGCACACAGGACGCCACAAAACTTTTGGATAGATGCATGGCAAATGTGGGACGCATATAGGCAACCTAAAAAACAATGCGGAATATAGACATGGAATGAAACAAAGCAGATGAGAGACAAGACACAATCTCTGGAAAAAGAGCGAAATATGTACAGGGGAAATACCGAGATCTTATGTTCTCCCCCCCCCTCCCCCCTTCCCACACACCCAGTTCTCCCGTGTTTTAGTTTTAGCTTTAGTTATTGTTCTCAACATAGATAAAAACAGATACGAACGGAAGAATCATCAGGAGTAAAACGATATACATATAACATTAACACCCTGGACTGGTGGACAAATTAAAGCCACAGCCAGAGGGGGTAAGGGAAAATGAGAACATGGAGCTCAAATACAGTTAACCGCTGACAACGCGTTTCTTGCGCATAATTTGATTCCAATGACAGGAAACGGGATTGGGAGTCAAACACTTGTATAACTACCCCAACTGGCAGTGATGTTTTGCTGTACTACATTTACCGGGTATACTAGTAATGAATGCTGAGTTTGAGCTTAACTTTTCTTTTTACACCTTGTGATACTGGAGGATATGTAAAACTTGGACAGTATGTAAACACTGGAACAGAATTAAGTTTTATGTAAACTGAATGTAGAGGATACCATTGTGAAAACTGATGATTGTACATACCGAAAATGCACATTTACTGTCTGTACCTCATAAACTACAATAAAAAAAAATAAAAAAATAAAAATAGTATATATGACTGGGATTATGATACAGTTCATTGAAATGTTACCAGAAAGTAGAGTTCAGTACAAATATAATTAACTAGGTACTCCTGCTAAGAGAGAAAAACCAATAAAGTATATGCATTGTCAAAAAATAAAATAAAAAAATTACTTTATTCTCTGTATTAAAGGACCACTCTAGGCACCCAGACCACTTCAGCTTAATGAAGTGGTCTGGGTGCCAGGTCCTTCTAGGGTTAACCCATTTTTTCATAATTATAGCAGTTTCAGAGAAACTGCTATAATTATGAATGGGTTAAGTTTTCCCCTATCCTCTAGTGGCTGTCTCATTGACAGCCACTAGAGGCGCTATGCTTCTCACTGTGAAATCAGTGAGAGACGCTAGCGTCTATAGGAAAGCATTGTAAATGCGGCAATGGCTGAATGCGCTTCAAGAAGCCTTGCCGCTACAAGATTCAGTCGGGCGGGCGTAACGGAGGCGGAGAGGAGGGGAGGAGAGCTCTCCGCCCAGCGCTGGAAAAAGGTAAGTTTTACCCCTTTCCCCCTTCCAGAGCCGGGCGGGAGGGGGTCCCTGAGGGTGGGGGCACCCTCAGGGCACTATAGTGCCAGGAAAACGAGTATGTTTTCCTGGCACTATAGTGGTCCTTTAACTATGAAATATTAAAGTTAAAACAATAACATTTAAAAGCCAACTTTTAGTGTGGACAGGAATCACAAGGCCGTTCATAATGTGAGATAAAGAACAGCTTTTTTTTAAAAAAACGAATAGTCTGTGAACACAAAATGACCTTGCGCTGAAAATTCACTTGCAGGGGGGAAAAAAACAAAACCTTTTTTTCTTTTTCTTTTTTTTTTTTAGTTAATTAATTAATTAAACATAGTTAGAACCTCCCTCAAAGTCCCGATGACTTTGCAAGAAACATGTCGTCCTTAAATACTGGGTAAGTCTATTAAACAGTGACATAGCATTTTTACCCTGTATATTATGTTGTCACAGCTATAATGTGCAGTATTACAAACTATTCATAAGTGTTGTGCAAATTGTTCATTAAAAGCCAGTGATCTAGCGAGCTATAGAACATTTATTTCTCTAAATGACCTCAATCGACAAAGCAATATTGTAATGGTGTCCATTGCAATCTGCTTTCTTACTTGCTGCTCTCAAAAATTCTGAATATGTTCAGAGATTTCTTGGGCAATAATAAATCCCCAAAAAACAACAACTTTGCTTTTATGCTAAACCTGCCTGTTGTAAACGGATTCTGTATATTTCTTGTCGTAAGTACTTGTACTTAAATCTGTTTAACAAAGCTGTTTATAGTGTCACTGTTTATATTGTGGTAAAAACATATATATATTTTTATTTTATTTTATTTATTTATTATTTTTTTTTAACATTGCTTAATTTTTAAAGATACATGCATATTTAATTAAATTATGTCTAAATATTTAATTATGTCTTTAAGACATAAAATATCTGCAAATTAGGATTATATACAAAAATGCATGTTCTGGATGTTCCGTGATTCCTTTTCTATCATTTTTTTTTTTTTTTTTTAAATAAGTCTGGAATCTGATTCCTTTTGGGATGAGCACCCTTCTGAGCCCCCCAGTTTATGAGGCTTCTTTGGAGGTGACCACTGAAAAGAATAGATTCTATAAAATAGATGTGAGGGGGCATTGGACAGTAATGTCACTTTAATTATATTTTTCATATAGCAGATATGTGATATGCAATGTGATTTAATATATCAGAGTATTATCACTTTAATTGACACTGCATTTTTTTATGCATTATTCTTTATGCATTATTATTTTTCAGGCTTTGCAATATCACATTAATTTTTCAGTATATATATTCACAATGCTCTTACAACATATTATTAAAATTAGCCTCTTTCAGAATTGTAGAATATGTGGTGGAACTGAATCCCCATATATGAGATATAAAACTGTATTTTTATTTCTACTCTGTGCCCTAATCTGTATTTATATACACAATTGCGGCAGCATATAGTTTTTAAAGAAGCAATTATTTCACCCTTCATGTGTGGTTGACTGTGGACTTTTTAAAACCTACTTTTTATTTTTATTTTATAAATCCGTTTCTGGCTCTGGGAGAGCAGGCTGCTGAATGCATGTAAATGCTGTTATTGTCTAGTCTATATACTTTTATTTATTTATATATATTATTGATATATTGATATATAAACAACTTTGATATTTAATCTTATCTTATGAAAACCTAGTTTATGAAATTCACTGAGATTACATGTGTCTGATCTGATTACAGTCAGTAGTACAATATAATTGTTCTGATTTCCTTACTGCTTGTACGGTGGGATAGTACCACTGATTTAAGTAAGCTTTCCCTTTTAAAATTAGTGGACTTTACTGCCATTGCAATAGACTAAAGACTGTACCTGAGTAAGCAAAGTCATTATGTGCAGGAATTGTGCACTTTAAATAGTAGAATACTTATGCTATTCTAGTGAATTGGGCTGGCTGCTTAACACATCATTTAATATATTTTGGTCACATTTAAAGCTGTAAATGTATTTAACATTTTATTTAAATAAGCCTTTAATAATTTCAGTTTAAAAGTTATCAGAGATCCTGTATAGTTACCATTTTATTTTGCCCTGATTTATCTTACATATATATTATTTTTAATTATTTTATAAATATTTATTTTTGCAATGGATTTAGAGAAGCAAAGGATGTATAACCTGTTGCCCTTTTTTCTATCAGGGTAGTATAATTTCAACTCTGTTTAGGGAAAAATATGAGTTAGTTAGCATTTATTATATAAAATACATACTGCAGTGTACTGCATTGTACTGCACTGAATTTATTTAAAAGCCATGTCTTTCTCTTTATGGCTGTATGTAATAATGTTGTTCATAATTTGGAATATAAAACGACTACTTCTCAATTCCTTGGAATGTTTACTTGTCTCTGTATCTCCGCAACCTTGGCTGGAAATTCCAGACTCCAAAAATAGTTATGCTGTTATAATTCCTGATTTTTAATCAACAGCTAGCGTAACTGACAATATGGAAAATATCACTGTTTTATAAAACTTTTCATATATAGTGGACATTCAAATCCAGAACGCAGTAATGCAATAATTAAAAATCCTGTCTGTCTGTTGCATGAATGTTTTCATTAAGCCATAATGCAATTTTCTTTGCATTCTTGGAATTAGACTTCAAATTTCATCGCACTGTCTTATTACTTTTCTTTTGACAACATTTTGCATTAATCTTTTTCCTGCGCATGCATACTAAGCAGCTACAAAGAGAACATATCCCCCTGTCTGCAATCCACTGTCCTGGAACTAATGGGCCATGCTGTGCTGGTGTATTAGGCATATCAGGGAGTTTACCAAATATATATATTTATTCTCTTATGATATTAATTAAGATCCACAATTTCAGCATTGTATGCTAATTACGTTGTACCTGGCACCTGAACTCGAAGTGCTTTGTTCACATTAAAATCATCTCTAATGATGAAGATCTCTCTCTGAGTCTGGGCTACAAATAGCTCAATAGATTCTTGATATTTCAAGATTTGTGCCATGACAAAGTATTGTGTCTTCTCTTACGTATAAGAGGTTACCTAGGTATTTATTTTATGTTTAAAGCTTCCAAGTACAAAGTCCCTTCGTGGTTGCCAATTGTAACCGTGGCTGGTTCCCTTATTTACCACTATAATGTCTTAAAGCATAGAACTTAGTAGGGCTAACCATACAGATAGCTTAGCCATAATTGTATATAGTGTAAGAGATCCTCTATTTAACATATATAAATAATTGAGAATACAATATAAAATAAGGATTGTCTTGGTAGCAATAGTTTTGTCTTTTTGGATATTTATTATATAAAAATATAAATATAAAATCCATTATAGCAGAGTTTATAAGATTAAATTACATGCTTGCAAATATCATTAATAGGTTAACATACCCTTCTGAACATGTCATCATGTCAGCCTCTCTGTCATTTTAAGTTGGAGCAGCGTCTGTCTCCAAGTCTCTCCTCTGTTCTTAACATTTAACATTTAAAAGTACACCTATTTATACCTTAGGTGTCTCCATTTTAGGGTTGCCGTAGTTCATTTACTTTATTAATTTTAGGACCTCCCTTAATTTGGCTAACATACAAGGCCATAACTAAAGGGTGCAAACGTCATGGAAATTTTCCTGACTTAGTTCAAGATGGCATCTTAAAGTCTGAATAGGTTATCTGTTGTTTATACTAAGTCGTAAGTGTACAGTCGTGGGAGATTCCCGGATTTGGGGAAGTTCCATTAACTTGGGGTTACCACAGTATATTGTGTACTGCAAGAGTCGTAGTATAGCCTTGAAGCTTGTTTATGCATTATTGTTATTGTAATTTGTCTGGGACAAAATGTTGCAAACATATTATGCACTGAGGTTATTGCTTAAAGAAACATCTATGAAAAACAATATGTTCCATTTCTAACACCTTGTCAGTTTGCAATATCTCTTAAAGACAAAGTACACAGTTTAAGAAATACAACATTTCATTCTAAAACTTGTAATATTTGCATTTGCCCAGATAAAAATGAAGGAAAGGGGCCTCGTTTAGGAAAAAGAACAAATGAATAATTTGTTACATGTGATTTTACAGAGGAAGAGGTTCTATTTCAACTGTCAAAAGTAAAGACTTGATTGGGTAACTAAAATAATAGATCAGGGTGGTGGAGTAGACATTGCTTACCTAGATTTCAGTCAGGCTTTTGACGCTGTTGCACATAAAATGCTTATCAATAAACTGCAATCTTTAAGTTTGGATTCCAATATTGTTGAATGGGTAAGGCAGTGGCTGAGTGACAGGCAACAGAGGATTGTAGTCGATGGAGTATATTCGAAGCATGGGCTTGTCACCAGTGGTTTACCTCAGCGATCTGTACTTGGACCCATTCTCTTTAATATTTTTATTAGTGATATTGCAGAAGGTCTTGATGGTAAGGTATGTTTTTTGCTGATGATACTAAGATATTTAACAGGGTTGATGGTCCAGGAGGGATAAACCACATGGCAAATGATTTAGGTAAACTAGAACAATGGTCAGAGTTGTGGCAACTGATATTTAAGGTGGATAAGTGCAAGATAATGCATATTGAACCTAAAAACCCAAGGGCAGAGTACAGAATATGTGATAGAGTCCTAACCTCAACATCTGAAGAAAGATTTAGGGGTGATTATTTCTGATGACGTAAAGGTAGGCAGACAATGTAATAGAGCAATAGGAAATGCTAGCAGAATGCTTGGTTGTATAGGGAGAGGTATTAGCAGTAGAAAAAGGGAAGTGCTCATGCCATTGTACAGAACACTGGTGAGACCTCACTTGGAGTATTGTATGCAGTACTGGAAACCGTATCTCCAGAAGGATATTGATACTTTGAAGAGAGTTTAGAGAAGGGCTACTAAACAGGTTCATGGATTGCAGGATAAAATTTACAAGGAAAGGTTAAAGGAACTTAACATGTATAGCTTGGAGGAAAGACAAGACGGGGGATATCAACACAGGGAATCAACACAGTAAAGGAGGAGACTATATTTAAAAGAAGAAAAACTACCACAACAAGAGGACATAGTTCTAACTTAGAGGGGCAAAGGTTTAAAAATAATGTCAGTAAGTGTTACTTTACTGAGAGGGTAGTGGATGCATGGAATAGCCTTCCAGCTGAAGTGATAGAGGTTAACACAGTAAAGGAGTTTAAGCAGGCGTGAGATAGGCATAAGGCTATCCTAACTATAAGATAAGGTCAGGGACTAATGAAAGTATTTAGAAAATTGGGCAGACTAGATGGGCCGAATGGTTCTTATCTGCCATCACATTCTATGTTTCTATGTGCGATTGCACTATTGTACATTTCATTTCCAACAAAAACATGTCACTAGGCACAGTACAGGCTAAATACTATGCAGCAACTAAGAAGTTAATGATAAAAGACTCTTCTGATACTTAATGAGTAGAGTTCCACTGTCGTTTTAGCAATGTATTTTGTAATAAATAAATAAAAACTGAACATTTACATTATGGCAACACTGGGCCTATTTCAAAGCATGGGCTTTGAGTTGCCACTTCAATAGCATCTATGTTAATCTGGCCCTAACAGAACATTGATATTCTACCACTGATTTTGGGAAACATCCCCTTTCTCTGTAAAGTAATACAAACATTTCATAGAGAGTGAATTCTCCAAAAATAGCTTATTTTTTCTGGATTTCTAGCATTATTGTCTTGTGATTGGAGACAATCATTGTCACATGGTAGCTGGTGTGCTTATATCTTTATTTTTCATACGTGGTATAACAGTAACCAGCTTACTAATTGTTTTGCATATATTGCCTTGTTGCATATATGACATTTTATATGGCTGTCCTAGTGCACAACTTCTTAGATTTTTCTAAAAAATATTTTTGAAATGTTTGTGGATAATACATAGAAAAAAAATATGTGTATAGAGAGCAAAAAATAAATGAGGATTATTAACAACAAATATAATAAATATTAATCATGGTAATAACTTCATTGATTTCTTCAAGGGTTAGGCAGGGTAAATGTGGTTCTGTGCCACTGGAGACACATAGAATATGCATTCAGAGAACCCTCTTACCATGCCACCTGTCAGAAGGAACAGTAGTTTATCTGATGACAGCTGGTTAACCATGGAAGCAACTCAGGAATATAAGATATATCGAATGGAAAAACCAAAGCAAAAACAAAACAGCTGATTTCCAATAAAGATACAACAAACACAATTTTCTCTGAACTTGGTACTAAGCAGTATTTTACATTGAAAATTACATTTGACCATCATGAATGATGCTGGTTCCTCACAAAGCTCCATTCAGGGTGAATATATATTTATCAGTGTTCATAAGCAAACAGAGCACAAGTAAACGATACATTGTCTGTAGTGGATGGGTTTAGCATTGAACAGAGAATCCTGGGAAAACTATGTTGATGATACTACAGAAATCGGAGGAGCCATTACCAAATACATTAAAACAAATATATCTCCCAGTAAAAAAAAAAAAAAAATCAATATTACACACTTTATGTCTAACAGCTTGAAAGCCTTGTACAAAAGGCTAACCCTATGCTATAACAGAAAGAGGTGAAGCCAAGATTCAGATGCCATGTAATTCCCTAGAAATAATGGGAAAAAAAGTATGTCCAAAAAATGAAAACCGCATCGAACATGATTTTGAACTTCTTGCTACTTAAAACAGCCACAACATCCCATTTTAATATGTTATGTGATATTTATTTACATAATTGCTTGTTACAGTTGCAGAAGGTTTACGAAGCTGTGAATACAGACACAATGTGTATTTTCAGTAGATATGGTGCAATGCTTACTAAACTTAGATAGGTACATTTTGTATTTCTCTTCAATAAACTTCATTAATACAGTTACATTGATGTAGATAAACACATAACAGTTCAATTCTCAGCTGCCTGTTAGCTTCACGCGTACACAATATAAAACAAAGCACATTCATTATTTTTATTGCAATGACAGATGATAACATTTGCATAAGCCAGAAGATAACATTTGCATTTAATTCAAAAGCTTAAAATATGTGAACTCTTCATGAAGTCTAAAACAAAGATAATTCTATCTAAAATTTAGTAACCACAATGTAATTGTGTAAATCACAGATACACGATTAAGGACATGTATTAGTAGTAACAAGTATTAGTGTAACTTCTCTGCATTCTGAGAAATTATGTAGGACTTATAAATTAAACATATTCATTGGGACTACCTAGCTCAGTTTGTTGCTGGTGTCAAAACCAGTCACTTCAGATGTGAAAAGTCAGAAAATGTTTTTTGTATCTATATAATGACAATTGAATATAGCTAAAATATGTATCTTACTTACTCTGTTATAAATGAACTATAATAATAATTTCTTCAATGATGATGCTTCGCTCTCATCTTATCTAGCCCTTGTATTGATGAACAGAAGACTGCAAACAATTTTGAGCATAGGTTCCACAGTGTATGGCAAAAACATATCACGGCTGTAATTACCTTAAACATTTATCACAGACACATGCAATATATATATATATATATATATATATATATATATACATACATACACACACACACACACACACACTTCTATCATCCTCAGTGAAGTATTCCAATATTGGCAATAGGATTATAGACAAGGAGTCACAATGCTCTATAACAGCAAATGGGTCAACATGCATCCGAGCAGAATAATAGTAGCGTGACATGTCCATCTTCTTTTCTAACACATTTCATATAGCAACACAAGTAGGTTAAAGTTTTGCATATGCCTTATTTCTTTCTTATCTTGCCTTATACTATAAATTTAATATAATGTCCTTGACTGACACCCTCCTTCAAAGCTAATATGATTTAAAAATAAATGTAAAACTACTTAAAAGCAGTGAAAGAGACAGATTTGCATGAAGACATTTTAGTAAACCTATTAGTAAACCTACCCAATGCACAAGCACATAAAATGGAAGAATTGATCATTTTTCACAGCAAGCAAGGACACCATGACCACGGTGATGAGCTAAAATATAGGAGGTCACATTTTTTTTACTGAGAGCTTCTACTGAGTATGGACTGCTGTGTTTCAGGATTTGATAGAATTTGTGTTCTTGAATAAAACATTTAAAATCACTCCTAACTTATGTTAACCTTTTTTTCTGTGAGATTCTCTGTTTTCTATTAAATTTCTGACAGAATCCCGTTCTGACAAGGCGAGGCCAGAGCAAAAATTGTAAATGAAGAGAAGAGATAAAAAACATTGTCTCACTTCTCCTCTTCCCTTTATGCTTTCTCTGTGCCAGCTAAAAAGACAAAGCTTATTACAATGATTCACCGGGAGTCAGGGCCACCCCAAAAAATTGTGCTGCCTGGATCCAAGTATTAAATGCTGCCCCCCTGCCAAAAAAAACAAAACAAAAACATATATGCTTCTGCAATGGTAGTGTCTCTATGTGGGTGTGAAGTGTGTGGGGATGAAGTGTGTGTCTGTGTGTGTACTGGGGATGAAGTGTGTGTCTGTGTGTGTGCTGGGGATGAAGTGTGTGTCTGTGTGTGTGCTGGGGATGTAGCGTGTGTCTGTGTGTGCTGGGGATGTAGCGTGTGTCTGTGTGTATCCCTGGGATGTAGCTTGTGTCTGTATGCGCACTGCAGCCAACACACTTACCTATACACTGTGTCTGTGTATATGCATGTGTATCGGTGTTTGTATCTGTGTGCCTGTAATAATAATTTCTTCAATGATGATGCTTCGCTCTCATTATCTTATCTAGCCCTTGTATTGATGAACAGAAGACTGCAAACAATTTTGAGCATAGGTTCCACAGTGTATGGCAAAAACATATCACGGCTGTAATTACCTTAAACATTTATCACAGACACATGCAATATATATATATATATATATATATATATATATATACATACATACACACACACACACACACACACTTCTATCATCCTCAGTGAAGTATTCCAATATTGGCAATAGGATTATAGACAAGGAGTCACAATGCTCTATAACAGCAAATGGGTCAACATGCATCCGAGCAGAATAATAGTAGCGTGACATGTCCATCTTCTTTTCTAACACATTTCATATAGCAACACAAGTAGGTTAAAGTTTTGCATATGCCTTATTTCTTTCTTATCTTGCCTTATACTATAAATTTAATATAATGTCCTTGACTGACACCCTCCTTCAAAGCTAATATGATTTAAAAATAAATGTAAAACTACTTAAAAGCAGTGAAAGAGACAGATTTGCATGAAGACATTTTAGTAAACCTATTAGTAAACCTACCCAATGCACAAGCACATAAAATGGAAGAATTGATCATTTTTCACAGCAAGCAAGGACACCATGACCACGGTGATGAGCTAAAATATAGGAGGTCACATTTTTTTTACTGAGAGCTTCTACTGAGTATGGACTGCTGTGTTTCAGGATTTGATAGAATTTGTGTTCTTGAATAAAACATTTAAAATCACTCCTAACTTATGTTAACCTTTTTTTCTGTGAGATTCTCTGTTTTCTATTAAATTTCTGACAGAATCCCGTTCTGACAAGGCGAGGCCAGAGCAAAAATTGTAAATGAAGAGAAGAGATAAAAAACATTGTCTCACTTCTC